TCTAGAACCGTTTTGGTGCCTATTTCCCTCTGAATCTATGGCTGGCCGGTCAACCCAGAACTCCAAAGCCATCATTATCAGATGCCATAGGAACCCCAAAATATCAGAGCAACAGTGGATCTGCTCTTATTTACACCCAGGCTGTTTCCCACCAGCAGCAGATACCAAAACCAGGCCAGAAGAGGTTCGGCCCAGTCCTGTCCCTGTTGAGTTGCTTCTAAGAAAGACTTTACAGACACAAATATTATATGGTTGTGAATATTTTTTGTCCTTGTCCAAATTATGCAATAATGAAAAGCATAATGAAAGACTTGAAATTTAGGTTACTCTTGTTTGTGTTTATTTAGTGTCTTTGGTTCTTGCCTGGTGTTGGTTATGTAACCGTAATCCTTTAGTCAGCAGGAGGTTAAAGCAACAAAGAAAGCTGCAGTGTATGCGTGCAATTAGGAATCCTGCTTTTTTCAGCCGCCAGCATTGACATTTTTGTTCTTCTGCTCTCTCTTTAAAACCTGAAATAACCTTTCTTGGATGAGGTTTGTCAGCTGGCAGAGGGGCTTTTGTTGTCTAGTGATTATCAAGGCTGTGTTGTTGGAGTAAATGCACTGAACAGCAAGTGACCGGTTAGATATTCTGAGGTTAAAACTGGCCATTAGAGTGGTTTGGAGATGCTTTGTCCATGTTGTATTTCTGCAGTTAGATAAAAAGTATGTTGGTCATGAGAATCCAAATAAATTTTAAATAGTAGTGACCAGAATGATTGATCCCTACAAATTATAGAAAAGGTCAGAAAATAAGACGGTAAGGCAAAGAAAATCTCATCTTACATTTTTCTTGGACACAACAGCTAATGATGCGCAGGCTGTCTGGTACTATAGATTAAACACTGTTTACGAACAACAGTGTTTTTTTTTTCTCCAAGAAACAGATGTAGAAGAAGTGAAAGTCAACTATACTTTATTTTTTGCAGAGATGATGGACAGATCTAGTTTAGCCGGTGAAATAGCTGATTGAGTGGGTTCTGTGCTGGAGAGCGTGCTCGTTGATGCTGGCATGTGTTTCCCAGCTGCTTGCTTGACTGGTTGGACCAGGGTTCTCCAAGCGCCGAGTGCCAGTGTGTCTCTCTGGAGACTCAATTAACACACATCCCGTCAAATGTCAGCATTACTCGTGTGTGTGAGAAGCGTGTGTGAGCATCCTCGTGCACTCGTATGAGTTCATGTGTTGTTAGTGTGAGTCACAGCCACATATGCCCGTGCAAAAAGCCCTCCGTTAATGAGGAGCTCGTTAGCAGCTCCACAGCCAAAAGGAGCTCTTTTTTTTCAGAGTAAAGTTTTCCTTTAGACCGAACCTCCTCAAGTCCAACAGTTAGAGGGCCAGGAAGGTGGACACAGGTCACATTTCAGTGACACATTATTATTCCGACACACAGCCGAGCTGTCTGCCGTTCCATTGGAAGATAATTGTGAGTCCACAGCATGGACTTCAGTAACTGGTCACATTACATGTTTTGCCCTAAAAGTTGTGTCTGACCAGACTGTTTTTTGCCTTCATGGGATTTTATGTGACTGCTTTCATCTACCTCTCATATTTCCCATCACTTGCATCAGCCAAATGTGTATTTCAGCAGAAACTTGACAGAGAGCAGATGGAAACCTGGACCCAAACGGTATCCTCCGAACAACTATCACCCACATATGTGAACGTGAAAGTATATCTGAACCTTGTAGTTTTATTCATTTGTGGCAGATCTGGATTTCTTTATCTTGTAATATTTGAGAGGGACAGTAAATCTCTGTGTGACTGTTTGTGCTATGGTGAGCAGCCTGAGCGTTTAGTGTTTAAGACAGAATCCAAGCTGTAAGCTTCAGTGAAGAAGCTGCTAATTTATTCAACAGTTTATATCTGTTTGCATCAGCCTCTAACTCACCCAGGTTAGACAGGAGACACAGGTCATTATGACCGGATCATCACCTTCCATTTAATACCAAACGACGGGAGATATTTACAGTCCCTCATTACTCACCTCAGCACTGACAGCTTATTGGTAGGAGATAATTGGGACCAAATTTGCTGTTCATAAATTCACAATGGACTCTTCATTAGGATTTTTAATTACATCTGGGTGTGTAAAAGGTTAAGTGTGGGAGGAGGGAGTGTTCCTCCGCTCAAGCTGACCGTTACTGACTCTTGCCAAATTGCTCACAGCAATCCCCATCTCTCTGCTTCTCTTTGCCAGTTTGTTTAAATCTCTCTTTCCTCCTCCCAACTCTCTGTTGTCTGCAAGAAACACAGTCCTCCCCACTGCTGCAGTGGAGGGAGTTGAGAGCAGTCTAAGCCTCTTGCAAACAGCACCTATCTTTACTTTGCCCACAGCCACAAAAGTCTCTGATTCCTCTCAGGAAAAAAAGACTGGAGCACATCTCTGCTCCAGACTGGGCTGAATGAAGATGCTTTCACCTCTAACTGTTAATCTGCTCAACATAGGACATCATAGGCGCCTCAAGACCGAAAAAAAATCTAATACTTTGATGAAAAAACTTTGGCATCACAGTAAAAAAAGCATCACTTGCAGTAGACGAACTCTTAACATTTCTGGCTTTATGTAACATTAGCGCCTACTCATGATGAGTGGGTGATCTCTGTGTCCTGTTAAATGGCCTTTGTATCGTTCTCATGTTTCAGTGAAGGATGCAGAAGACTATTCTTTGAAAGAATAGCAAGAAAATCCATTAATCTAAAATACACGGGAGGTTGATCTTTAAGAAACAATGCTACATACATACTACATAAAACAGACAGGAGAAACTTAACACATTCCTCTCCAGTGTCTCTTTGTTTAGTTGTGAGGATGGCAAAGAAAATTGACTTCAAGTTCAACTTTGGTTAATTTCTTACCCCTAAAACTGCAACAATACAAAATAATTTGATTCAGGTTATGTTTTAAAACCTGGCACAGTGCTATCACTCCACAGAGACCAGCATGTGTGCTCTGCTATTCATATCAAAGTCTATTTAAGTTCATATTATTCATAGCTAAATGTATGTTGAGGTGGTGAAATGAGACGAAAGTACAAGGTGATAATGAGCATTAATGCTCATGACAACCCATCCATTAAATCCTGACATTTCACCAGCACTTCTCATAAAGATGTTTGCATTAGCACCACAATACAAAGAGACTCAATCAAGAAAGAAAAATCAACTTTAATTGCTCATTCAGACCAAACAAAAGCAGCAGTCTTACAGAATACAGCACAAGACACTCTGTCAACACGTCAAAGATAAACTGCAGATCCCCCCAAAACAGCTCTTCTTCTTCTTAAAAGGGTCTCAAAAAGTTGGATTAAAAAAATCCATATGAATATTGAATTTATATATACATATATACAGTACATTGAATTAAGCTCCAGTGTTTTTAGCCTTCTATGCATTTGGGTTCCATAACCTTCACACGTAAAGGATCTCTGTGATAATGCTGAACTTAAATATAAGCAGAGCTGTGCCGGGACTTGGGTTGATTTGCAGCTTGAGCTACTGCACGTTAAAACCCATCTGTCCGCAGACAGAGCAGCCATGGCCCATCTGGGTATTTGCTATCACAGACCTTGGACGCATTCAAGGTTAATGCCCCCTTATTAGGCCCAGGCATCAGACCCTGCAGAGGCTTCCCTTTAATGCATGCTAACGGATACCTCACACCCGCATGCATCTGTCCTCCACTCAGCCTTTATCAATCACTCCAAACCCACAGCAACTCTGTCCTGCGTGCTGACAAGCCCAAACACAAGATGCTCTCAGAAATATTTTCCTACGTGTCTCTGATTTACTCACAGGTGAATAAAGCAAAGCACAACATATCTGTCATTAACTTTGAAGGGACAGCTATCGTCAGAGTTAAGGCTTAATGCATGTACTCCATCAGAATGAGCACAGATTGTGTAAGAAAGTGCAAGGACCAATAAATATGAATAGTTTTGGTGGTATTGGATTGTAAAGCCGTCGGTGGATGTTGTGGAAGTACCTGACTAGTATTGACTCAGGAACACAGCTTTGTTTTCAGTGACATCATCCCTTCAGCGGATGGCCGACAGATTTAACAGCGGTCAGCTTTAGATTATGAATTATTAAAGCCTGTTTCATTCTATCCATTTCCACTCTCTGCTTTAAGACATCCAGAGTAGAACATCGTTTGAGCTTAAAGTTATTGAGCCAAAGAGTTGAAGAATTGTTAGAGGTGAGATGTGTCTTCTTTTTCTACTGCCAGGAAAACTTCCCTTTTGTGTTTTTGTTTTGTGAAAATCATCTCATGGTGACATTTCAACCTTCCCTGTTGTTTCTTAGGGGAACCGAATTATTGTGTGTTATTGTTTCTTATAAACTCTTCATCAAAGATGTCAACATTATGGACGTGTCTTTTCCAAAATGCCAAAGAATCCTCTCTGGTGTAAGTGTGACATTTAAGTGGATGGATCGATTGAAAGAAATATAAGAAAGACTTTATCTTTTAGCTCCTTTCTCACTCGGTCCAAGAATTACACTCAGAACTAACATCTGATGGTCAAAATCGGCTCGTTCTCCAGAGTCTGCGGGAAGAGGTGTCCTGTGACATCACATCTTCAGACAATATCCCAGTGATTGTGGGAGGAAGGCAGAGTGAACCGGGGCTTGTTCTGTAGCAGCTGCTATTAAAACGTCCTCCATTACCTCCAGCTGCTCGGCTGGAGCAGTTTAGTGGCCGGTAGTAGGACCGTCAGGTGTTAGTGGCTGCTCTCAGCAGGCCGTGGTGCACGGCTGGGCTCTGCATAAACCCGCGTGTGAAACAGACCAGCGCTAAAGGCAGCATATGAGTTCTGTAAACTCTTCAAAGATGAATGAAAAAGTAATGATTGAGAGCTTTTTCCTGCAGCATACACAGCTGGAGTGTAGCTTGCTCGATATCAGAATGACCTCCCCCGTCTGTGTCCGCCTTTCCTGTCCGATTTCCACTTCTGATCCCTCAGCGGTAGCCGGGGAGCTAGTTCATCTTCAAACAGAAATGCTACAGGCGCAGAGCCCCCCCACGGAGCCTGTGCAGCCAGGGGCGGTAGAACCTGACCCAGAGCATCCTCACAGCCCCGCCATGAGCAGAAGGAGGAGGGATTTACTCCTCTGCATCCGTTGTGTTTGTAAGACTACAAGCCTGGATAGAATCCAAACACTTATTCACATCCAGCACACAAATACTCACATCAACCTTAGCTTTTTCATTTGGTAAGTTGATCTTTTTTACGGAATATAGCTACTATACTGCTATTAAAGAAATGCAATCATTTACAAATTCAGCCTTGTAAGAACTTGTGTGTGAGGTCAAACAAGAGTATTTTCAGTAATGTAGTAAAGACTCTGTAAATAATCCAAAGTGATGGAATAACATTACAGCCCAGCATTTACACACAGCTCCTCCCAAACACACTTTCTCCACTGGGCTGTCAACACTGAGCTGGTCTAGCTGGGCCCATTATCTTCTGGAGCGCTGGAGAAAATATTCCGACAGGCAGTCATCTGTGGGAGTCGCCCGGGATTTAGCAATATGGGGGGGGGGACCCGGAGACATCCACACATGAACCAGCCTGTGTAGATGAAGAGTTTGGGAGCTTTTGCTTTGTGTGAAGGGCAGTCGACAAAAACACGCTGGAGGAGAATTCTGCCCAAACTCAGTGGCTGATAGACTGTTTCATATAGCTGATATTTGGGGGCGCTAACTGAAAACACTGATGGATGACATACATACGTGTATATAAAGTGTATGACACCATGGTTCAACTCTTCAATGTTCAGCAGAACTCTCCATAGTTAGTTTTCATACTGAGCCAATATTACTTCTAATCCTTATCCTTCCCACTCTGTTGTTTAAAATGTGGCTCTTCTTTTACGTCTTCACCACTGAGTTACACTTACATAAGCTTATAACCTAACAAATAAATCATTCTCATGCATAATGCACTGAGGAGACATGATGAGGTAGAGAGTTGCACCTCAGAGTCGATCATGCTGAGCTTGAAATGCTGAAACATCTTGGGAGGGCTGGAAATATAATCATCCTCAGCTCTTGTGCTTCATTTATTGATTCTCACTGGTGCTTTTATGCAAGAAAGTTTGAGAAATTAAAGCATATTGCACATGAAAAAACATATATAGTATCCACAGACTGGATAAAACTTTAACAAAGATGAGCCATAGCCGGTTTGCTAGTGGAACTTGGACCATGCGGTTCTGTCTGATGTCAGCCTCCTGACTTCACTCTACTCGGCTTAGAGCTATTTTTCTAAATAACAAAGCTGGTCCGTCTTCTTACTGGGTTACCATCCTTGAAAAGTGGGTGAAGTGGTGCTCCAGTTAAAGATTGATCTTCTTTTCCAGTTAACGATGGCTAAATGTAGGTTTTTTTTTTAAATGCACTCACCTGCTGAGTCTACCGGCTATCCACTGAGGACATTACTCTCCCATGTGTGTTTGGCTGCTCACATATTGATTTTCCAAACAGAAATGAATCCCTCTCCTTACTTGAGGCAGAGGCTTTGAGTTGGTGAGTGTGGCACTACTTGGACACAGTGGGATTTGATTTAACTCAGCTGATGTCACATCAGGGAAACCACTGGCCGTCTCACATGGGCAGGCTGACCTTCCCCACCAGGACTGCCCAACAGGGTGGGAAAGGCTCTCTCATTTAGTCCATTTGTATTTTTCGGAAGCTGAAACTTAATGGACTCAGAGGAGGTTTTGGACATCCCAGACTGGGCAGGGTCTGTGCCAGGTTTATCACATTTTCAGGTTAATGCCACTCTTAAATTAAATATATCCAATAACTTTTGTATTATTTTGGTCTTTATTCCTGTGCAAGGGTTGCAGAGTGGTTTGGTGGCTAGTAGCATTGCCAAACAGGAAGAGAGTTCCCAGTAGACAGTTGACTCTCTTTGGGGGCTCTGGGTTTCTTCCACAGTGGAAGTTATACCTGCATTAGTAAGATATTGTGCACATTAAACCATCAAAAATCATGTGATTCTCCTTTGTTTTCCTGCTTTGTTCTACCCACACAACAAATACAAAAGTACCACAAAGGAAAGGCAGATGTGTTTGAATTAAATGAAGTTTTGTTTAGTTTGACAACTGCCAAAATAAGCTAACAATTGGCAACAGCTACTTTGCTTCCTTAAGAAAAGAGTTACCCAGTTTATCTGTGTTTTTCTGTTTACTGTTTTTAATAACAATTGACTTTGACCTGCCACAATGCAGCTCCCTCAAACCCAACTGTACTGCTTTAATTATGGGAACAGCCAGTTCAAGGAAAAGTGAAGATAATCCAGAAGGCTCCGGGCAGAGTGCAGCAGACTGCAGCGTCTGAATGCCGATACCAAAAGATCTGTGCCTTTAGAGGCCGAAGAAGTTGTTTTACAATGCGATCAATCTCCTTGAATTTATTTAATCTTTATCCTTCTGTCTCATCTTAAAGGTTGCTCTCCTATATGCTGTACAATGACTGAACATATCTGCACAACAAAACACTGAAAATCCTCTGGAGAGATGATTTAAATGCAGGCTTAGCCCTTCATGTCAGCTTTTGGTAGTAATGATGTAGCATGTTGAGGTACTGAGGTCAGAAGATGGGGTCATTTTGCCCTAAACCTTTGGTTGTTACGATTATTTCAGTCAGGATTTTTTTCCAGTGTGTTTTTGATTTTCTTAAGGCATAATTACAAATGTGGAAAATGTGTTTATTTGAAGATTCAGTGGAAAAGATCTAATTTAAGTCCAATTTTTTACGTGCAATTGGCCAGAATGTGACCTCCACAAAGTGTTTGCAGCCCGCCATTAGTGGCGGCCAATTAAAAAAGGGGGTTTGATTTTTAAAGCCTCTGAACTTTCCCTCAGCTTTTCTGCAGATGGACAGTTGTCTGTCCTTGTAAATGTGTTTTACTGACAGTGAACTGGGATCTTTGAGCTAAACACTGATGAAATGAGGAGCAAATTCGTGTTTTACTGGACGCTGTACTGGGGAAGGCCTGACATTTCGACTAACAGATCCATCTGTATGTTAATGTTCCCAGCCGTGTTTTCATCTGGAGCACAGTGTCCTAAAAATGGGATAGTCAAATCCAGGTCAGCACTGGTCCACAGACTAAATCTGATCATCTGGGTGAGTTTTCAGAGGCAGCAGAGATAGCAAAACTGAATAGTAAAGCAGCAGAGTTTATCATTTGAAAGGTAAAACTGTTTTAATAACCTCCACAGAGTGCGTTGTGATGCTCGTGTGTGACTCCCGAAGCTCGGCATTTTATCTCTAGAAATGAATACAACTTTTATTAATCTCTTAATAATAAATAGCCTAATGTTACTTTTGAATTTATGAGTGGAGCTAAGTAAAGCGCAGAGTGCTCTGGTCCTGTGAAGGATTTGAAACCAATTATAAAAGATGTGCCTTGAAAAATTGCACGTCTTTAGGGGATTGTGGGCTAATCTCAAAACAAAAGGATTACTGTATTTAGAAGCAAATTCTATTAGCATATCGTAATGAATCTTTCTCTGAGATCAATTTTCTAGTCCGTCCTCCCCTACCTGATCCTTTTGACATCCATCTTAGATACAAATGTGCTACAGTGGATGTAAGCTTTTTAATACTGACAATATATCAGAAGGCCATAGGTTCATGTTCTGTTGTGTAAAGCTTTTCTGTGTGTAACGTCTCACTTTCCAGCACACACTGTACACTTCACTGTGCCCTATAAAAGGCAGAATCACCAACATAGACCCTATACATCCTGTTCTAATATCCAACAAGTATCATCTGTGGTCTTCCCTGAGGGATTTACTGTTACCTAAAACTTTATACTTTATATACATTCTGGTTGGGTAAAGTTTTACTCTTTTTTTAGTTACTGAGCTATTTTTCCAAAAGATAAATCAACCAATTGAACAGTAATGAAATGTGCCTCCAAACCCTTTTTACAAAGAGATTAGGAACCATAAGATGCTGTGTGAGCAGCGTAGCGGCTGTGTGTGATGGATGGGAGCTTTAATGTGTTACACACGCTTTGATGTGATGGAGATAGCGGCTTTCTCGACAGCTCTGGACCCTCTGTTTTCCGCTCAGCGTCTCCCAGCTGGCAGCATGGAGGAGAAAAAGAGAGCGCTGCTCTGTTTGCCTGAAGAAATCCCAACTTGTAACATTGTTCTGTAGCTCTCAATTGGATTAAAAGAAAACAGGAAGTGGGATGATTATTGAAGATGCTGTTGTGAGGAATCATGAGGGATTTAATGAGAGACTCTTCAGTGAGATGGGGCTGACATACCTTGATACTCCACTGGAAAAAAGAGAGCAGAAAATAGATGTTCCACTCACTGCTGTGTTGACTGTGACACATAACAGGAGCGGGATTCCAGCTGTGACAGACACTTTGACAATGAGTCAAAACTGCCTCGTATGGTGTTTTTGTCCTCCTTTTTGACATTGTTAAATCTATTTGCCCAACTGGGAGTCTCAATCAGTCGTATTTAAATCCTTAATAAACTAACAACGTCAAAAAGGGGGAGCTGTGTTCTGTTTCATTATTCTGTGGTTCCACATATTGATACACTGTGTTCACTTGATTTGAAGAAGAAAAAAGTGCTTTATCGAATGGTGCTTTTGTAAGCAGCTGTACAGAATAATGTCCTGGTGTCCCTGCTATATTGGGCCAGACTAGGGAAAATTTGAGAACTTATTCAGTCATTACCAAAGTGAGATTTTCTCTAGATTTTAACTATCTGAATCATCTAAACCCTGAGTATGTTTACACACGGATCAGAAACTTTTACAAGCTTTTGTTGCACCTTTCTCCATTAATAAGATGTTTTTCTCATAAAGTCTAATCAGACTTCTTAATAGTTGGATTTAATCATATCAGTTCCTCTGTCAAAGACCGTTCATTTTTATAAAAAGTTCAATTAAAGAGAGAATGACTGGATAATTTGAAGGGATTCTGCCTTTAGGGTCAGCTTTGGATATGGTGGCATTTTTATGTTTCTGAGTTCAATGAAGGGGTGTCTTTTTTTTTTTCTTTTACCAAATATTTCACAAAAAATTGTCTGAAATATTACCATTTATTTAAACTTAAACTAGATCCTTATTAAATGAAAAACTTTTATTTCTCATGTATGGTTTTGGACAGTTCCCTGCTTCTTAGCGCTAACCATCCTCATGGTTTAACTGTTTGGACTTACCTAACTCTCACTTCTCAGCCCACCACATCCTTGTAAAAAGGAGATTAACTGGCCCCGGTCAGCCAGTCTCTGCTTAAGGATGGCATGAATCACCAGGCCAGCCCAGAAATTAAGATTTCAGGGCCACATTATCACACAGAAGTGAAAATAACTGCCCGGCTCTTCACTTGATAGATTCTTAGTGAGTGAAATTGTCCATAAATTTGGTGCATGGAGTCATAAATGTCAGGAAAAGTGAGAGAAACAGACAGACAGATTCCTGCGGCATGGTGGCAGCACAAAGGATTGTTGAATGGAGATTAAGAATAAGACTTAAGGATATAAAACAAGGCTGCTGGGTAAGTGAGGAATAAAGGAGAACGTGTAAGTGCCTTTGCCTTAGGTTGATCATAGACTGAGAGGAATACAGATGCAGCACAGGAGGAGAGGCTGTGACCTGGATGGAAACAAGGATTTCACTTATAAGAAGAAAAGTGACGTCAACATGCTGTAGATCAACATGTACACAACTCCACACAAGCTAAATGATTTTTTCCACTGGGTGATGCTGCAATGACTATAAAACGTTTTGAGTGTTTTTTTTTTTTTTTTGGGAGAACATGATGTATATTCAAAAGTACTAATTGACAAATGTGCCATCTGTTCATTTATGGGCTTAAAGCACCAAGTTGAGCAAATTGACTTAGGAATTCATCACCCTCTAAAGGCAACTAGAACATTAATGAGAATGATACCGTCACAATGTCAGGATTATATGAGAAAAAAAAGATCAGGTGTTTACCGAGACCAGGGATCCAGGAGAAGACAGAGTTCAGAGACAGCTGTGAGGAAAACAGACAACTCTTTCCTGTCCGGTTGAGAAGAATCACAGCGGAGGACAGCTCGTGTCTCCGGGGATCAGTGAGCTCTGTAATAGGCCTGAGTTTCATCAGCACAGGTCCACTCTCCGCTGCACACTTCTGGGCTATCTCTGCCAACAACAGTTTGTGGGAATATGATGTTCCTGCAGAATGAAATTAGAGTCCAACCTCCTGGATACATCACAACTACTGTTAGTGCAAAGAATCCTGCAGAAGAACAGGCTCAACTTAACCAATACACTCAATTCTAAATACACAAATGAAAACATGGCCTACAAAATGTTACAAAAATAAGATTAAAAAAATATTAGATGCAATCATTAATTTGTAAAATGAGGATACCCTTTAACTTTTCAGTTACAGTTTTCAATTGTCTGGAAGCATCTAAATGCATCCATTCAACAATGTTCAGTTACAGTCTCATACAAACGATATCATAAATTCTGGCATCCAAGGAAATGTGTTTTCAGGTCATAAAACAAAGTCACTGCGTATATCTGACTGTGGCGTTTACAGCTTTAGTTTCTAAACATTGTCAAAGTTAAAGTGTTAAAAGTGTTAATATGACGAAGCATGCGTGTTCGACCATGCATTTACATTTATTCATGTTTCATGTGGAGTTTTTTTTTGTTTGTTTTGTTTTTTCATTCCATTTAAGGAATGAGACCAGAAGAAGAAAATAATCTTTCTCCATTTTACCACATGATTGGATTGGTCCATTCACCTTGTAATTGGGGACGCTCTCTTGATTTGTTGGCCTTTTTAACAGAGAGAAAATGGCCACTTCATTGTGACAGCAGATGGTTATTCATCTGTTTTTCTAAGTGACAGTGTTTCCATGATGCCTCAGTGAGTATGATGGCGTTCTAACGGCGGGGTAGATGAGTATAACTGCAGATTAAAGAACAGGTGTTTACTTTGTAATGGCGGGTCATTAGATCATAACAGCTTTGTTAAATTCTTCTGACGCAAACTCCTCCAGCTCCCATTTATTGTCTATTTATATTTCTCAGGATGAAACATAAGCTGCGATATGGTTTGAAGTCATCAAAGACATAAAGGGCTTCTCATTGTCTTTCTCTTCTGTTCCCCCCTCTCTGTCTCTGTGACTCCCTCCAGATGAATTCAAAGCCTTCTTGAAGCGTTTGCCCACTGACCAGTTTCTGAATGTGTCCACGATTGCCAAGTTCTGGTCAGCAGACCTGTCCCTCCAGAAGCGCTACACGCAGCTGGAGGCCAGCTCTGCTCTGGCTCTGGGAAAGGCCCAGAAGATCGTCAGGAAGCTCTTCACCCTGAGCAAACGCTGTCCCAAACAGCCCCGCATCAGCCTGCCCCGGGAAAGGTAAACTGCTTATTTTGACTGGATGTGCTACATATGGAGCTCTAGAACAGCACTCAACAAGTCCTGTAACATAAACCGTCAAAAGAGACTCTTCTTCACACCCTTAAATATGACCCATAAAGACATCATGTGAAGGACAAGCAAAAGCAGATGAATTATGATGTAAATATAAATGATTCCACCTTAAGCACACATCACTGGGACATCAGATGATTGGGTTTTAAGAAATCCAAACTATTTCAACCACAAGGCTTTCTTATTTAAGAAGGGAGACAAGAAAATCAAAAACTCAAATTGCTCTTGGTTAAGACTTCATGTTTTATTCTTGTCTTTCCAAAAAGTCCTTATTTTCTTCCTTTAGCACCAAGGTTCTGATGTGAGGTGGGATTGAGCTCCCATTTCTGCCAATGAGATGATATAAAAAGAGATAGTGTGTGTGTGTGCGTATGAGTGTAAGTGTGTAAAGAGAGAAAAAAGACTGTGAGAGAGATAGAACAATATTGGTGAGATATTGTGAATGCAGTGTCTACATCCCTGAAAAGAAGGAAATCCAATCCCTTAGAAAAGAGAAAAAGGCTAAAGATCTAGAATTCGTTTTCTTTTTCACCCATTAAGCCGTCTTCTTATGTCAGTCTGAGTCTCAGATGTGTTCCTGACCTTAGGGTTAAGGACCTATCCTCTGGTGCATTGAGAGGCGTATTGTGTCATTTCTTTTGAGATGGATTTTATTTGAAGAAAACACATCAGTCCAAAGGCACTAAAGCTTCAGATTTCAGAGAATACTATTTGAGTTTACATCATTTTAAGACTATATTAGTTATATATGGTAAATCTAATGCAGAAATATGTTTTTCAGGGTTACGTCAAGGAGACAGAGGTAGTGTTTGGTGTCCTTAGAGAGGCAAGGCTTCTGACCTAAGGAATACTTAAACTAACCACTAACTACACCTGAAATTAAAACATGGTAGTCACTTTGGATAAAAGCAACCAAATGCATACATGTAACGTGAACAAGCTTACAAGATAAGATAAGATAATAACTTTATTGATCTCACATTGGAGAAATTCACTGGTCACACATTGGTTTAGTGACTAAAGAGGGTTCAAAAGGAGCAATAGGTGCATAAAGTACAGCAAAAACAAGCAAAAACAAACAAATATACAGCTTATTGTTAGAAGCGCTGTTTCAGCTGGTGCCCCCCCCCCCCCCCCTGCAGGCCGGTGGGCTTCTGGCTGGGCCGGACTCAGTCTGTGCTCTACTGTAATGAGCACGGCGTCCTGGGCTCTTTCTCTGAGGAGGCGCGGGCCTGCAGCTGCCCCCCCGAGCAGCCCTCCTGCCAGGGCGTGGTCCCCTGCGTGGTGGGCACCTCCCCCACCTCCTGCTCCCTCTGTGCGCCCGACAACGCCACCCGCTGCGGAGCCTGTCGCCACGGCAACCTCCTCCACCTGGGCTCCTGCCGCCCCAGCGTGGCTGCCTCTCTGGACCACTACCTGACCTTCGACCTGGACATGCCCGATGCTGAGGTTCTCAAATATGACACGCGTAGTCTCTATTTAGACCAGATCACATGACATGTCTGTGCTAGTCCCTTTCTGACAGTTCACAAACGTGCATGTCCAACCTCACAGGGTGAAGGCCTAGAAAAGTGAACTAAATTGCAAAAGTTAGAATATTTTTTTACTGTCAACGGGATGGCAGTTTGACATAGTTTGAAATAGATTTATATAAACTTTCTATAAACTATAAACTATTCCTTTTTTTATTTGGTTTTAAGAACAAACTCAAATGAGCAAACTAAATGATCAAAGTCAGAACTCTTCCAGCTAGTTTGTGTGCCGTGTTTGTCTTTATTTGCGCTGACCGGACTGTGGCTTTCAGGTGAAGTACCTGCTCCAGCGGCTGGACAGCAGGATGGAGGTCCACGCCATCTACATCAGCAACGACGTCCGCCTGGGCAGCTGGTTCAACCCCGCCTGGAGGAAGAGGATGTTGCTGACGCTCAAGAGCAACAAGAATAAGTCCAACCTCATCCACATGCTGATGGGCATTTCTTTCCAGATATGCTCCACTAAGAATTCCACCCTGGAGCCTGTGCCTGCCGTGTATGTGAATCCCTTCGGGGGCAGTCACTCAGAGAGCTGGTTCATGCCGGTCAACCAGCCCGACTTCCCTGATTGGGAGAGAACTAGACAGGACACCATTGCTACTGCACAGTGTTACAACTGGACTCTCTCTCTGGGCAACAAGTGGAAATCCTTCTTTGAAACGGTGCACATCTACCTACGGAGTCGGATACTCACAGACGACCCGGCGGTCAACGAGACTCTGTTCTACGAGCCCTTGGACTTAGATGACCAGACCTCAAACCTGGGCTACATGAAGATCAACACCCTTAAAGTATTTGGATATAGCATGCACTTTGACCCGGAAGGTATCAAGGATCTGATTCTGCAGCTGGACTACCCCTACACGCAGGGCACGCAGGACGCCGCCTTCCTCATGCTGCTGGAGATGAGGGAGCGGGTCAACAGGCTCTCCCCCCCCGCGCCCCAGCCGCTGGACCTGTTCTCCTGCCTGCTGCGCCACCGCCTCAAGCTGTCGGCCGGAGAGGTGGCGCGCATCAAAGACTCCTTACAAATCTTCAACTCCAAGCTGCCCAACGCTTTCCCAGACCCGGAGCTGGCTCAGCTCTGCAGCTAGCTAGCTAGCTAGCTGAGAGAGCTGGTGCAGACGTTAACGCAGAGAGCAGGGGGGCGGCTTCAGCCTGTCGGACTGGAAAAAACTGAATCTGAAGCTTTGACTGACTCCCGTGTGGCAGACAGCATGGTCTGGAGGACAGCCTGGACTCCAGAGGCTCCAGACTGGAGGAGGAGTTTTGCTATTACTGCCGTGCTTTTGGCAAACTGGGACTGGACGAGGCCAAGAGGCCGTCCTGCTCAGAAAAAAATGTTGTGATCAAAACACCAGAGACTATCTATCTTTGCAGGTTCTGTACTTTGCAATGAAAAAGGAGATTTTGATATGTGAGGAGGAACTCTTCAGTGGTCTTTAAAACGAGTCTAAAGAGGAGGAGGTCCTCTTTTCTAACCCTATTTTCTTTGGATACAGAACAGTTGGGTTTGGGGTCGGGGTGGAAATATATATGTGGTGAATGAGTTATGTTATGCTTAAATTTTGAAAATTTGATAATGCTGAACCATGTTACTGTCTTTGAGTATTTCTTTTTAATCCTTTCCTTCCATTTTATCTGGAATCTGAAAACTTGTAAGTATCTATTCTTATCCTCTACAGATGAGAAACCTGTTAGTGGTGTCCTTTTAATGGTGGTGTGTCTATACCAAAAGGTAAATTTATTGGAAAACTGAGTGGCAAAATTTTGCAAAAAATATATTAACTTTCTTTAACTTTTGACCTGAAAATGATAAAGCAAACGCCTGACGTGGTTAAAGGTCTGTGGACGTCGTGCTGTAAATAACGCTCCATCTAACCCCAGGTCGTGGACAAGTGCACATCGCTTTCTAGATAACTCGGTGCGAAGGCCAAAAAAAAAAGGTTTATAGCAAAACAAACTCATGCCTTATATGGAAAGTCAATGTTAAGAATAAGAAGCACATTTAGTTTCTGTGTTTGGTTTCTCAGCAAAGGTTGTATTGCTTTTTATATTTCAATATTTCTACCGAGAGAGAAGAGCAGCCACATTCTCCAGAGTATGTAGTAATGTAGCTTCTCCATGCAAACGCCAGTCACAATTTCTGCACTTGCTTGTTTTGATTTGATGTTGTGAAATCTTTGAGTCGCCATTTACAGTGCTCACCTGTATTTGCACAATGTAATTGTTCTGCAAAATCTCAAGCGAAACTAAATTTCAGTAACCAATAGATCTTATTTGATTTTGTCATGACTTTAAAATGCTTTTCAGTAGTTTGGTTTCTTCTCAGGTCAATTCAATGTTTGGTTAGCTTTTTTTTTCATTATATGGGTAAAAGTTTAGCTGCTTTTTACCAAGGCATTTACAAGGTTTATCCAGGTCACTGATGGTTATCTTAAAACCTGCAGACTTACCTTAATGATACTTGATTGACGATTTTACATTTGACTAATTAACTTCTCACTGGAAGTCAGCAAACCTTGTATGTCATTTCCAGCTGTTCTTCTGTGCCCAGCTTGCTTCAGTAAAAACAAAGTGGTTTACCAATTTGAAAGGCTTTCTCTTATTTCTGAATGTTTCAACAGAGCTGGGTTTACTCAGTCCTCTCAAATCCACTCTATGATGTTCATAAGTCAGTTTTTCTAAATCCTGCACGATCTCAAGATTAACCAACATCTAGTGTTGGTTAACATCTAGTGTGATGACAATACATCATTAATGAATGAATGATGCCCTTCCTGTTCCTGTCTCTTCGTGTCAGACTTCATGCAGGATTCAGTGTAGCTACTGGAAACTGAACCGTCTCTAAAGGAGGAGCCAAGGTATTAGGATGTTCAAACTGATGTGAATTTTGAGAGATTGGGCTGTAGTTATCTGGAACCCTATGTCCCTATCAACTTGTGAAGGGAGAAACAGAACCTTACTGAACCTGTTTATTTACAAGATGACAGGACGAGCAGAAACTAAGGAGTCTGGAATGGTTGTGATCAGAATGGGACTCTTTTACTTTGGAGGTTCGGTCCCTCTACCAAGTAGAAGAAGTGGTAACCCATGGATGGAGACTTAGAAGCAGAGCTCCAGAACGTTGGACTGGGACCCTTCAGGTAGGTCCGTTCCCCAAAAGAACAGTGAAATCCCAGGTAACATTTGATAATATATTGTCAATTTGCACCAACCAGAGCAATCGACTCACCTGATGCTAAGTCTGAGCTAAACAGACTTTTCAGATTGTGTTCTGTTGCTTTCCCTGATCCAGCGTGGCAGCTGTGGACCCCACTGGGAGCCTACCCGCCTTCTGTCTGGCACACCGCACACACACATGGATGCCAAGGTACCGGAGGAGGAACCGGCCAAACGGCAGCCAGGTCCCATCATGTTTTACAAGTCCAGGACTGGCTGTACTTTCAATTTCTAACTTGATTCTGAAGGGAAACTCTAAGTGCCCGCGCCTGTAATGCAACTGTGATCATAGATAATAGCTTTGATAGTCAATGTCTTCTTATTCATACTTTGCAACATAATACACATAGTAATTACATAATTCTGCATTCTTACAACTGAAACCAAAGTCAGTGGTTCAATCCTGGTGTCTTTGAGTTTTGTGTCCACTTTCTGGAATGCAGAATGATTTGAACACCATATTTTGAATAATAATTAAATTAATTTGAGTCTCATCTTGGGTTGGTGCCACGTGTGAATGTAAGGATTTTAGTTTCAGAGTTTCTGCACATGGTTTAGGCCTGGGGTTGAGAGGCAAGCATACATCGTGTATAGCAAACTATTTGCTGCTAATCACTTCGATATCACGTGATTTTGTAACATTTATTTAATTTTGAGGACAGTTTTTCTTTCTTTTTTTGGCTTAGGCTTTAAAAGTCTAGCTTCTCTGTATCAAGTGAAGACTAATGGAAATCATTTCATTTGCAGAATCCACAGCTCCAGGAGCACCTGCAGGAGGTGATGGAGGAGAGAGGAGAGGGAGGAGAGAGCACACGACTACGGGGGGGGGGGGGGGGGAAGTCCCGCCGGGTACGGCCCGCTCTCTGGATGCTTATGTCATACTAAATGAAAGCACACATGCATTTTATTTTATCTTTTATGCTTGTAAATGTTCTGAGTATCAAATGTTTGCAAATGTAACTGAATTGTTTTGCATTTGCTAAATGTGTTCAGTATTGTCCTTAAAATGACTGGAAGCAGTAATTTCAGAGTCAAATTAAAAAGCAGAAATCTGGATTCTTACACTGGTTGGTATGTTTTAAATACCCCCATTATTTCCACTTTACGTGTCCAGGTCTGGTGGCAGTGATTGGTTCTTCTGCTTCTGTCTCATTTTAGGAAGCGGGTCTGCTTTGACAAAAGGCAGTGCCACAGTTTTTCTCTGTCGTTTCTGGCTGGGCTTGATCAGCCTTTGATTTTGAGCGGGACGCGTCTGGTGTCTCAGTGATTTGTGTTTTACTCCAGTTCTGTTGTGGACCTTCCAGTAAACCACCACCATGTTTTTATCAGACTCCTCCTCAGTCAGCTTCTTGATTCCACCTCTTTCCAAGACTTCATTTTGTCTTTATAGTAAAACCTTTTCAATGATGTCTAGTCTCTAGACATCTGTTTTAAAGCCTTTCTGTGGGCAGTTAGTGACTAAATGAGCTCCTCCTGCTTCTGGAGCTGGAGCTTGTAGCTTGGCTTGTAGCTGTTTGCCATTTCACCTTTTTCTCTGATGATTTGAGTTGCTCTCTGATTTCCATCTGTGTGTTTTCCATCTCAGAAATTATTAGATTGTTTTAGCACGTTTTTTTTCTAAGTTGAAGACTTGTTCCATCTGTTTTTCCAATGTTTCTAATTGGGTAAAATCAAAGAGGTCAGAATTAATCTTTACTTCTGTCTGTGGAATTATTTAGCTTTTTATTGGATCCATCTCTCTTTCCACCCTGTAAAATTGTATTTGTAGGTTTTTTTGGGCATTAAGTTTCCCCTTGTGCTTTTTTGCCGCAGTTTGTAGAACCTCATACTCTTTAATTAACTTTTCTACTTTGAGCTCCAGAATAGGATTTTTGTCCAGAAGGTGTTTTCCCTCATGATTCTTTGCTTGTTCGAGGTCTTTGTTGTCTTTCTTGAGTCCTTTTTATCTGCTCCTGTGTTTTTCTAGATGGTCGACCTCCAGAATGAGTGTGTCTTTTTGAAAAGTTACCTCATTCAGCTCTTTTATCTTTTATTTTTCATGTTCTTTTTTAGATGGTTGAGGCTTTTCTTCTTCCAGCTTTCTCCTGGTGTTGACCAGCTCTTTCCTGGGCTGCCTTCCTTTCTCCCCAGTGTCTTTTGTTTTCTCCACAGTTTTGGGATTTCTTTCTTAATTTTGATTTAATTGTCTCTGTTGTTCAAGGAGAATTAGTAATATTTTCTTCATGCCATTCTTAGACATAGTTTCAAAATACTCCTCGCTCAATTCCTCCATCCCATCATGCTTTCTGCCATTTCCCCACCAGCAACAGATGGAAAAGTGGCATGGCCCTTTTTTTTGGGTTGTTACAAAACAGACCTTATATGGTCTATTTTTATGACTTCTACAGTATAAAAATGCATTAGAATTAGTAAACATGTGGGTGAGCAGGGACATTTTGTTTAGATTCCATTATTGAGCTGGGAGTCCATCCCAACTGCCACGTCCTGGACAGGTTGCCGTCCATTTCACACCACATAGAGACAATTAAGACCACCATGCACAGGGATGATAGGCCACAAGTGAGCATTATCAATTAGTCTAACAATCCTGTTTTAGGATGATAGCTATAGTACCGGGCGAGCATATTTAAACTCTACCAGATGGGACCCAAGAATGGTTTTAATGTGGCTCAGAGGTACTGATGACCACACCACTGTGCAGCCACATTAAGATAATCATGAAGCATTCTTCAGATTTGGTTTAATGTGTGTTCATTTGTTTGTTTTTTAAATATTGAAGATTTTACATGCATAAAGTTGTCCAGGGAATCCGTGTAAGGAGTTACAGCAACACAGAAACCTGAAATCAGTAGGACAGTAGTAAGCTGACTAC